TCATAACATCGGCGTTATCATTAAAAAGACAATGTCATGGAAAGGGCGACCCACAGAGGATTCTAACTGGCAAGAAGTCGAATAAACTGCCATGGAGTGAAACCACTAGGGATGACAGCTTTCAAACAGGGTCTCAGTGTTATAAGTCCCATGTCAAGGAGCCTCTTAAGATAATTGTGGCTTATAAGTTCAAGGAACTCTTTTATCCCACAGGCTAATTTTTGGGAATAAACTTTTTCTTTAAACTTGAGCTCATAACATTGACAGTATACAAGGGGGCAAATCATTATTATCATGCACAATACAAAGCAATTTCTCTACAAGTCTTGTAGCTTTTATTTCCCTGACGTCCCCAGTGCTGATTCACAAGCTAGAATCATCTCATTCATGCTTTTGGTCAGCAGACAGTGTAGCTCCCATTTAGTTTAATTACATATCTTGAGGACCAAGTATCACCAAACCATCATGAGACTGGGGATGGAAAAAACATAAAACCTTGTAGCCATAAACATCATGGAGGCAGTTGGTGCCCCAACATTCCCATCCTGGTATCAGTAAGACATCCCAGGTCATGGATACCTATATCTGGAATACCAGGGTCATAGGACTGTAAAATACTCAGGAACCCAACACATCATCTTCAGTTGTGAGTACGCCATGCATGAATTTTAACTGCCATAAGCTATAGGGATACGGATCTTGAATTTCTTGTATCTGATAGTAGGATAACTCAAATACCACTATTCACATCAAATACCCAATATATAATCAAAGAACCTGAGCATACAACAATATGAAGTTTTATGTTTTTTCTCCTCTTAAATATAGACATGCATATGTGTATAACATATCGATGTTGATAAGACATGCAAGAGACAAGGGTATACCTCTTAAGTAAGACAAAGGGAGTAACTAAATATCATTAGCGAGATTAAATCAGAATGAAAATGACGTAATAGAAACTATTTCAAGGTTTATTAACTTACAGATAGGTACTCATCGCTTCCATCCCAAATAACCATTTTTGGTAACTTATTGAGGTCAAATTTTTCAGCAAAATCTTCCAGCCGATTAACACCAACACAACCAAATATTAAGTCACGGTTTGTAGATGCAGCCTTCTTCAATAGTTTAATGAATTTCTTTGATCTTTCTTCATCCTCATCCTCAAAAATTGTTAAGATAATTTTCCTCCCATCACTTTTCATCAACGTTAGTGTGTCAAAGGATACAGGCGCCACTAAAGGAATCAGGTTTTGTTTCACAAAATCTTCCAAAGACTTCTCTGATTTTGAGACGAGAACATTACCAAGAAAAATTAAAATGACGTATCAAAGTTGAGGCATTTAAAATAATAAAACTGAAGGACAGAGGAAATGCGTTACAACATGCGATGTCATGGTATATATTAGTACGTGTTGATAAACTCACAATGGCCATGTTGGTTTCCACGGAAGTAGCAAAACCTTTCAAATATATATAATATATTGGCTTCATCACTCAGATATTGTTTGGAAGTAAACATGTACCATCATGACAACATAGAAGTGGGAAAAATCGAAGAATAACCTAGGATTTAACACTCTGCTGCTCTTTTACTCTTATATTTTGAAGGATGTTCTTCATCTTTATTTTTAACCAATAAGTGGAACATAATGACCTCCTTTCTAAAAAAAACTATTATAAGGAACAAAATATTCAACTTATCATAAACAGAGAAACAGATTCCAGCAAATACACAAGGAATTGTAAAATTCAATGCAGTGGCATGAAGAAATGCACAAGGGAAGCAATATTTAATAGGGAGAATGACAATTAAGGCCTTTTCAAGGGAATTTATCGCAATTAGGGCCTATCAGTTTTGCATTGGATATTGTCTTGTGAAAATACATATATGTTGTTGTTAAAAGCTGAACCTTAACATGTTAAAGAGGGCCTCACATGTCATTCTCCCTATTTAATATCTAAGTAAGTATAAACCAACCTTCGAAGGGGCCATAAACAGTGCTACGCTCATTGTAATCCTGATTAATGGAAACCAAAGCAGGAACCCTATCAAAATGATACAATCCCATGACATCCTCTGAGAAATCCTTTGCCACGGAAAACCATGCATTTTTCTTATACTTCATGGATGACTTTTCGATCATAGAACTACTCAACCCAAAACCTATAAATATGGGGAATAAAGCGCCGGATGCTTCAACAAAGTTATTAATAGCAGAATCTGAATCAAGAATGGTCACATCTGGAGAAGCAAACTTCTTTAGATAACGAACTAGAAGATCTGCTTTCCTTGGTCCACGATAGTCTGTGGGTACACCATGTACAAACAGCATAAGGGAAGGATAAGCACTACATCACAGAATAAAAGCTTAGCATAAGTTCATTTCCAGCAGGGAAAGATTCAAAATTCTAAACTAATTCCCTCTAAAAATAAATTTTCATTTCAAAAGATGATAAAATGAATGGGGGCCAGGAAAAGGAGAGAAACATGATAGACATTTCATATTTCAATGGAAACTAGAATGGGTAAACAACATTAGTATCACTTTGAAATAAATATGTCTCAACAAGAAATATAAAGGCTAAAAGAAACATACTCAACATCAAATTTTTTTGCAAGACGGGAAAACTTGTCTGCATCAACTTTTGCAATGACTATGGGTTCTTTTAAGGCTGCAAGCACAGGTGCAGCTGCATCTAGCTGCAAAGTAACAAATAAGATATTTCATCCTACTCACTTGATGAAACATAAGAGAAGACAAACATAAATTTGCTGTGTTATATTACAACTTTAATACCCTTTTTGCAGAAAAATCTTGATCTATGAGAAGATCTTAAGCTTATCAAGTTATCAAGTCATTGACAAAATTTAATAACTTGGCACCTTGTGTCTGGCATTTATGATAAATATTATATATGGATGTTTGCTCTGTTGTCATCTTATTAGGGCGATAACGAGGAAGAAAAAATATACTTCAGCATGGCTCAAACCATTTTGTTTTTCTTCCTTTCCTTTAATTTAACTAGGAGGGCACAAGGAATTATTCAGGTTCAAGTTATGCCATTTTTCAACCGGAAGGAATATTTTAGGATTTCTGATGTCAGTTTAACACTCTACCTTGAACCAATTCAAAGCTAATCATCTGATTCGGTCCTTCCATCATCTCTATCATTGTCTATCAAGCTCCACGTTTAAAGAAGAATTCCAATGTGGTACGCGATGGGCTTAATGTCATGATCCTTGGAATGCCAAACGCTTTAGTATTAAAGGGTTAATTACATCATATCCCTCCTCAAATCATCTTATTTAGCTTAAAGTGAAAAGAGGACATTATTTTTATGAGCTTTCTCAAACCCAAAGGTGAAACAGGAATGGTTAAATACTGTCAAACGCCTTCGAGCTATCCACAGCAATTATTCGAAGTGCGTATTAGAAAGTAAGGAGAGATGAATACGTACCTCGGGAGAGAGACGCTGGCAGTGACCACACCATGGAGCGTAGAAGTCAACCAAGATACGATCGAACGTCGATATGGCGGAATCGAAGTTGGATTCATCCAATTGCAATACCGTGCCGTCCACCGAGAAAGGCTGAACTGAAGAAAACGATAAGGAATTTAAGATGAAAAAGGAAACCAAAAGAAGCGCTAATGCTAGTCCATGCTTCATCATTGATCCAAATGGTAATGACAAGGTTTGTTTACGTTCTTTATCTCTCTTTGCCTTGCCTTTCTTCGCCCGTTTATACTTCACTACACAATTCAGCTACCTTCCTTCTTTGCTTCTGCGAGTTTGGTCGCTTTCTGCACGTACGTGTTTCTGTTTCTGTTTTTCCCTCTTTTGGTCAGTCAAAGTATATCTTATTCTGTTTAGATGTTATTGATATTGATTCATTAAAAAATATAAAATATTTTTAATTAAATTTTATTTATTAATAAAATAATTAATTTTTTTATATTTATTTCTATTAAATATCCTAAAATAAATATAAAATTATTATTAATAGGGATACCTTTAAAAAAATAATAATTACATCTTGAAAAATTTTTAAACATCTAACTCCTCAAAAAATATCTTATATTTTTAAATGCAGGGAGTATATAATTGATAGAGGATAATAATGAATTTTTAATTGTTTAATTAAATATTTTTGAAAATATAACAGGATAATTAATCAATATTATTCTGGTCTTTACTATAAAAAGAAATTAACAATTTCATGCTATAATTTGAAATTGTAAAGAAAATATATGACTTTTTTAATTTTATTCTTCTTTTAAATTATTGTTTAGAAATTCAAATAATAATAAATATATAATAAATAAAATTGAAAATATGTTAATTATTCTAATTTTTTTATATTTAGGGCAAAAAACAAAAGTTCTAAATATCGTCTTATATTAAAGACTAAACAAAGTATGAGTTATTTTTAATTTTAATCAATAATAGCGACTTTAAACCTAATTTTAAATTGGAATGAGAGAGCATTAATATATTTTTTTCCATCTTTCATTTGATTTGACTATCTTAATTTTACAAATTTAAAGTGTTTTCTAATAAAATCTAGATTGGGAATGCCTAGATTATTATTGTAACCATGTGTTACATTTACTAACTTGTTGCTTCTTCAAAATAAGTGATTTTTATAGTTCAATCTTGAGATCTTAATTAGTCTTAATTTATTATAGCAAAAGGGTCATATTTACTAATGAAAAATTTCCAAAAGGTCTCAAAAATTGAAATTATTCATGATATTTACATAATATTAATTTTTGGTCAAATTTAATTTCTTGCCCAGCTCAATAGTAATGAAAAATATAAGCTTATCTGAAGATTTGCAAACAATTTGAATCATAAAGGTGATTCAAATATGCACTCCAAATTTATTAAACACAGCACTAAGTTAATCAAAGTCCTGACCATTAAATGATGGATCTAATTTTTAATACTTAGGTGATAAATATAAGGACTACATTTAAAGTGAAGATAAACTATAAGAATTAAATGATAAATTTTGTCAATGATTTTCAAGGTGAGAATGCAAAACACCTAGTTTATCATGAAACATCATCTCTGAAACCAATTCTAAGCCTAACAAGCTAACAAAACCCTAGAGTCCTATTCGATTATTCTTGCCTCACATTACAATCTACATAGTAACCCCTGTTACAGAATAAAATAAATAAATAAATAAATCTTCTTATTCTGTATTGACAAATGACAATAACAAGTTCGATGTGGTACATTTTTAAGGCCCCATCAACATGAAGTTGATCTCGCTCTTGCCCTACTTAATACCATATAGTGTGTGTGTGTGTGTGTCAATTGTATCTGCACCAGGCAAATATCTTGGCTTTGGACTTTGGTTCCTTTAGCGTGTTATCTCAGTCTCAGCAATTGAATCAACAGACTGCAGAGGAAGATGATCAAGGACCTAAATGAAATTCACTCCCTCTTCACACGCTTAGAATTGCTTTGCTTCAACCAATCAATGCATTCCTCTGCAGTTCCAGAAGGATGTGCTAGTTGCCAAGCCATTGCCTTGTCAAGCTGTAAGCCAAAAATGAATACAGAAGCAAAAGACCTCCGTGAGTGAAATTGCACAAGCATGCTTGAACAGTGTCGGACAATATTGTAGCAGCATAATGGCTTACCCACTCCTTAACAAGTGGTCCTCCTTTAAGCTGCAAGGCACTCATAACTTCCTTTCCGTTGACCAATGGTTTAATGCCCCAAATATTTTCCAGACCTACAACTCACCAAACATGTGTTGATACTTAAATCATAATCCAGTATGTTTTTTAGTGCATTTGCACTGTACAATATAAACAATCTATCACTTATTCACGTTCAGACATTAGAGACATGTATTGAAGAGGTTAAACATAAAAGAAGAGGAACAATAATCAAAATGGTTTGCAGACACAGGGAAACACTTGATTGTCCATGAATCATTAAGGTTCTATCATTTGGGCACCCTCAAGTAAGCCATGAATACGAATATGAACTACCCAACGTATAATCTATAGGGCTCACAGTCAAATTTCCACAAAATTGCTATACATGAGAATCTGTAACCTCAAAAGATTAATGCAAAGGAGATAGGAAATATTAAGACTGCCAGATAAGCACATATAGCAGAATGAACAGAGAAGGCACTTAGCTCACCGAGTTTGGTTATGGAATTCTCTAGAGTCTTGAATAGATCTCTTCGTTTGCACAGCTGCAAGTGCTCATCCTTGGCGTCATCAACGTCAACGGGATGTATTAATGTGGATATAAAGAGTGCAACTCGCCAATATTCTTTAAGTTCTCTTAAAAGAAACCCTGCAAAAATGCTCAGAGGTAAGATAAAAGCTTAGCCTTCAGAAATGCAAGAGAAGAATGAGCATGCTGTCACATCCTGTTAAGTCCTTATAATTTCATGGTTAAAATTGTTCTTTAGTGCCTACAGCTCAACTCAATTTTGAATTTTGAACTAGGTTTCTATTGTCTATTGTTTAAAATTTGTAATTAGGTCCTAATAGTTTTAGAATTTACAGTTAGCTCATGTTATCAATCTTTCAATTTTTTGCTAATTTTTGACATGCCCAACCATTCGGCACATTAGCACTCTACATATACAAAATCCCAGCCAACTCACCCAAATCATATGTCGTATCATATGCCACACACGTGAGGAAAAATATTCCTTAAATATTGTGCAAATCGGGGGCTAAAAAGGAGGGTGGGGAACAAGAAAAACATGCCTTGCATTGCACAAGAAATCCACATACTCAGCCAAAACTAGAACATAACATCATCATAAGAAACTATCACCCAAATGACGAGGCATTAACTGAGGCTTATATTCAACAGCTGCTCAAGAAATTTCAAAATGCTGATGCCGTCTCAAGCTAGCAACAATGTTGTACCTGTCAGTACACGGAGCCTAGAAGATACAGGCACATCAGCCAAATCCCTCATCCAATCAACATCTAGATTGACATCCTCATTCAATGCAAGATGAGGGATTAATGACAGTAATTTATATGATGCTTGGTGTAAATCAAGCACCTGCAGCAAGAAGAACAAAGACAAACAAATGAAATAATTCAAATATTAGCCAGAATTGTGATAAACTAAACTAATTGTCATTACAGTTGCAAGCTATAACAGATATGGTTCTTCAGCATTTACTCGGTAGAGATAAGAACTGACCTTCTCTGCATCTTTAGCTTTTCTCTTGAGAGACTCCCGGATGATATGATTGACAACAGGAATCTGCAATTAAAAACATATTAGTCAACCAAACAAGCAATTTACTTGAAACAGTAGCTGCAAGAAGAAAAGTAATACTAAGTGAAATCATTAGAGACCATGAGAAAAAGAACAAGTTGCAAGTGCAATATACACTTCAACAGGTTATGCTACATGAACAATTCAGCATGCCTTAAGAAATAGATTTTTCATCTCAGCATTACTGGTCACTATAGCACAACATCAAACAAGAAGAGGCAAGGACCTCCTTAGCTTTCTTATCTTTGTAACTGGTACTTCTCAGGGGGAGAAATAAAGCAGCATACAGGGTTAATCTCCTCTGTTCATCCTAAAACACACAGAAAACACTGTTTACTATCATGAAAACCTAATAGGAAAAGGAATGAACTTGAATACAACTCCCTATTTACTAGGATAATGAATAAATCAAGAATAGTGGGTAAAAATGGTTAATTAGACCATTACTTACAGTAAAGGTTGATTCTCCAACTAAATGGATCAGATTCCATGCAGCATCCATGTAAGTAATGCAATGCCTGAATAAAGAAGAATTATTAATTGATCAACATGACCAGCCAAAAAAATCCAAACCTCCATGGAACTTGAAATATTGAGACATTGAAGAAGGATAATCTTATTGTAAGTCATTCCAACTGCTTCATGTCCATAGACAGGTATAGGGTCTTCAGTTTTCACCACTTCATTATCATATCAGTCAGGCTTCAACAGATTTCACCACAATTTTATTTTAGTCTAGATGAAAAATGATAGTTGTGTATTGTCATGTGGCATCTAAGCTACCTATATTTTTCACCAATATCTTAATCTTAATATACAAAATTTAAAAACATGATAAAAGAATAAATGCTGGTCTCCATTTTATAAACTAGACCTGTCACATCCATCAGCAATGGGAGGCTCAAACTCAGGAGGAAAACTGAAGACAACCCAAAATAATGTCAGATCACATATGTAAGTCATTGCTTTGACAGGTTGGTTTCCAGAAATCATTAGATCAATCTACAAGATTGAGACCAAAAAAGTATAAATAACTACCTTTGCAGTATAGATAATAAATAAGAGGAATTTTCTATAAGAAATCCAGATAGAATTTCAAAGAATCAAAAGAAGGAAAAATGCAAGATAGCAAAAGTACTTCTGTTCCAATTCGCTCTCTGCTTATTTTAGCAGCCAGTGCTCCTTTCACTTCATCACATGCTGCAGCTCTCTTCAGGTCTTCGTCAAGAGTAAAATCAAATCTAGCACCTAAAATGATAATAAAAAATGTCCATCAATTAAAGAGATAGCAATCAAAATATAAGCAGAAGCAAACAGACAAGAAGTTCATGGGATAGTGTCAAGAACTAATGGTGCGTGGATAAAAGGATGGGGATGAAATATAACAGAACGAAATAGCTAAAGTAGGTCAGGCCAATGTTTGGAAGATTTTTTTAAGGATGGAGTGGAGTGGCAATGGATGACCTCCAAGACCACTGCTCATCATCCAGACTCCCAATTTCCATGTCCCTCCAGATTAAGGGATCAAAGATGGGATGGAATAGACATCAGGTACAAATACAACTACATCCTCCTTGGCTAAAAGCCTGCTAGAATCATATTCTAATTATAAGGTTATATAGTAAAGAAGCCAGTCATTACATTCCACTAGTGACTCCCTTCATGCCCTCATTGAACTCCCAAATAATATAGAATGACATGACCTTCTTTCATTCTATTCCATCATAAACTCCCCAACAAAACCTAAGGATATGGAACTTAAACTTTGAAACTTTGCACCAAAAAAGCAATGCCTTGCAGCCTAAAGCTAGGTTCTATTCCTTTATTAAGCAACTCTATCCGTTTATTCCCCAACATAACAGGTAGGAATATACCCTGTTTCCAAATTATATGAACTAGTAAAAATGTCTCTGCTAAAGAAGCCAGGAATTACAAGAATTGAGAATTTAATCAGTCCAGACTAAGAGTGGGAAGGGCTTCCTCCACTAACAAAGCATGGTACACAAGCAATGCAGGTACCTTTTACCGGAAAAGGATAAACTAATTAACAAGCTTAACTCAAATAAGAAAATTTAAGAACAATAATATGATGAGTCGATGTCTACAGGCAGTAACAAACACATCATGAAAATTTTGCCATACCAAAACGAATGGTTCGAAGAACTCTTAAAGGATCATCCAGAAAGGTTTCCTTTGGAGGCAAAGGAGTCACTATCTTTCCAGATCTCAGGTCAGAGATCCCTGCAGGGCACCGAAAAGAAAATCAGATTGACAGATAAATGGAATTGAGCATCTCTAAACAACAAATTTGGGAAATATGATCTGTTCTCACCTCTTTTAGTAAAATCTTCAACTGAGTCAGTGTTAATATTGTAGAATAAGCTGTCAAGCGCAACTATATATGAGACTATCCTCCACAATTAAAGCAGAAGCAAAATGAATATAAATGCCCATGTAACCAGCAGATAAATAGAAGGAACTGGATCTTATTATTGTTAATCTTGTCATGCCATGTGCATCAAACATATACTATTTTAAGTAAAGAAAGATACCTGTTTATAGTCAAGTCCCTCCTATACGCATCTTCTTCAGCAGTGCCAAATCTTTGCTGTTGGACATTAAATAAACTTTAATCCTAGCATTTGACTTGGATACTGTGCATTTAAAACGATTTCTAGAATACATGTTTATCTTTGCAAAGCATACACTTAGCACCAAGCAAAAGAAGAAAGAAGGGAACAATCGCACATGAAAACAACTTTTAGTTAAAGCAGGTAACTAATTATGAGAATAAAAGCGCAAATTTTCACTTTCATTTCCAAGCCAAACTAAGCATACAAAGCAAACTTGAAATCCTATCAGAACAAATGATCTATTTGAAAACAGAAGAACTACTAATAACATACCTTGGTAGGAATGCGGCTGTTTTCAGCATACTCCTCACTCCTCAAGTTCACAAAATCAATCCAAATATCGAACAGGCGCATCCTTGCTGTTTCCAAGTGTTTGGATTGCTCCGGGTTACTGCAAAAGTTGAAGTTCGATGTAAAAATGATCTAGTACAATAGTGGCAATACCAACCACCAAAGGAATCCCCCTTTACCAATATACTCCTCCAATCCTCTTTACAAGTCATTTCTATTAATCTCATCAATACCGATACCAAAAATGTACAAGAAATAAAAGTGTATAAAATTTCAAATATGTTCTAATATAATAAATTTAAAAACTAATATCATGTTACTTTTTCCCTCATGAAAGGCAATTTTAAAATATTTTTTCAAATATGACCTAAAAAACTGACTTATAAAAAGTCTAGATAGACCTTTTAAAATATGATTTATAAATAAGAGCGAAGGGAGTAATTGATATTCAAAATCCTTAGTCGTGAGAGTTACTCATTCAAGGAAAACACATCAGAGAGAAAATAGAAATTACAGTGAAGTTTATACACACCTCTCAATAACACATACTCCTTGCGCATCTTCACCCACTGACAACAAGTACTCCCTGACCTTATCTACAAATTCAGTGCCCATCATATTGTCGAGAGCGATATCAATATCATAGCAATCTTTTCCCAGAAGCTGCAAAGCAAACAAGCACCCAATAATGGTAAACTTTCAACAATTCAATTAACCACCATTACAAGAAAAACACCCCAGTTGATCAACAGACCTTGTCCCGAACCCATCCACCAGCAACTCGAAGCTGAGTCTGAAAACCGAACCGTCGAAGGGTACACAGAAGCCTATCGAAGATCTTCTTCTCCGTATCGGACAGTTCAATCCTGTCCCTTACTTGATGGCGCAACGGCGAGCTCGTGGCCATTGATGCGTAGCTCAGAAACCCAAGGGTTTTGGCTCTGAGGAGGGGTTTAGCAGGACTGCAGGAATTAAATAGAGAAAGAGAAATGAACTTTGACGATTCCTCGAGGCAATACGTGGGAAGCAGAAGGTGCAGGGGCTGGAGCCGTATAGCACTTCTCATAGCGGCTCTCATGAGGCTTTTGAATTATCACATCCTCACTTCCCAGTCCATGCCCGTTGAGACTACGAAAGGTGACCATCCTCGTTTCGTTGTTTCATCCAAATAATATTCCTCGTTTTTTTTTTTTTGTATATTTTATCCAGTAATGATACATAAAAAATATATAAAAATTTTATACTCCTTCTTTTAAAAATATAAAATATTTTATAAAAAATTAAAAGTTAATAAATATAAAATATTTTTAATTTTTTAAGATGTAATTATTACTTTTTTTAAGTGTCCCTATTAATAATAATTTTATATTTATTGTAGGGTATTTAATAGGAGTAATTATGAAAAGATAAAGTTAGTTTAAAAGTAGGTAATAATTTTATTAAAGGATAAAATTTGATTAAAAATACCTTACATTTTTAAATGAATGGAGTATATATATTTAATTTTATATATTTAATATCATAAAAATATATTTAATATAGGATAAATTGGTGCACTTGCTGAAAAAAAAAATCTTATACTTAAAAAATATGAATCAACTTTTTGAAAATATAGCACATTGGCATTGATATAAAAAAGATTTGTTAGTAATAAACAAATAATTTATTATTGACATGTAAAAAACTTATCATTAAAAATTTATAACAAATTTATCATTAATATATAACACTATATCATTAACAAATATAATAAATAAATTATAATATAAAATATAATAAATGTTGAACTATTTACTTGATTTGAATCTACAACATAAGTTTTATTTACAAAAGACTCTTTAATATATTTAATATATATTTTTAATTAAATTAAGATATGTGGAGTTTTTATATATTATTTATTCTATAATAAATTATTATTAATAATATTATAAAAATATGGTATATTTTATTAAATTTGTTTATCATTTCTAAAAATGTTATAATATTAAATAATAACTTGTTTCAAAAATAAAGTGGGAAAATTTTATTAAATATTAAATAATATTTTAAAATTCTAAAAAAAAGAATTGGAATATGAAATACTTTTTTACTAGAAAATAAATATAACAAAACGGATAGAGCACCCTGTTTTATCCTACAAAAATGGTTTTGCATTAATAATTTTGGATTCTGGATAATGTGTGTAATTGACATGTTTATATTAATTATTAATTAATAAATTATATAATTTATCCAAAAAATATTAAAAATCGTAGTTGAAATATTTTAAAATACAAATTGTTTCTTTTCCAATATATATATATATTTTTTAAAATACGGTCACATCGTTTATGGTGCGGTAATGTGGTTCCATTTTCCAAAGGCCTTCCTTGGGCCAGTTTATAATTCTATTCAAACTATCATATAGGAATCGGCCCAACCATCTGTCTTGAGTAGGTGATAATTCCAATTAAATCGCACTGAATGAGGCTCAACATCACTCAATACTTAATCTAGCCCAGCCCAATACACCTTTTAACGGATTAGAGTGCAAAACGAGGGAGTGAGCACGCTTTTTTGAGAGAGTTGCACCTAGGGTCCCCAAATTAGAGAAATTTGCCGTTAAGGCCTAGTGAATTCTGAATTTACTCTGCAAGTCCAAAGACCTTTGATGCAAATATGTTTTAGCCAAAAAAGACCCATTTGCCCCTCCCAAAACTAATTAGTGTTCGATGTCGATCTCCTCTTCCTTCTCTCCTCTTCCTATCTCTTCCTTCTCTCTCTTACTCTTCATCTTCCTCTTTTTTCTCTTGCTTCTCTCTTTACCTTTCTTCTCTTCGTCATCTTTCTTAAATTTGACTCACAAGGCATTAAATTTGCTCGTATATTTTATCATAGAATTGATAGTAATTTCTAAATGAGGCATATGGGAGATATGTTGTTTGAAGGAAGGTGGATTTTGCAGCATCAATCATTGTTTCACTTTTGAAAGGAGTTAAGTCATCTTTCAATTAAATGCATATTTTGAGTAGGAGCCAAAATTTAAGTAAACTCAATTTCTTCTTACGGTGGGATTTTTGAAAACTACTATAGAAGTTGTAAAAATTAGAGTTTGTTATCATTGAGTTATGAATATCTACAATCAAAAAATTCTAAATTTTGAATTGTGAAAAAATTGAATCTATACTTGTAAATATTTGAACTTTTAGTTATAAATTTATAAACTATGGCAAGACGTCAACTCTAAACCTTTGCTTGTCAAGCTATAGACTGTTACTTGTAAATATTTAAACATATACTTATGAATATTAGCACCAAGGGTGGAACCGGAACAGAAGGGTTGGGGGGCTAAATTTAAAAAAAAAAGAAGTTATTATATATAGTGATATTTTTTTTGAAAAAAATTATATTTAGAATAAAAATTATGTTAAAATACTTTTATAATATGAAAAACATCATAAGATAAGAATCATTTAGAATTATATAGTTTTTTTAAAATAAAAAATAAAGTTAAGTCCTAGTATATTTGTTATACATATAATAGAAACTTAAAAAAATTACATGCTCCATGCAGTTAAACTAATGTTAACCTGGTAAAAAAACACTAATATTATATGTCTACCCTTATCTAATAGAGTATCTCAATTACAAAATTCTATTAATTACACTCCCATAATTAAGGGTATATTTGAAAAAAATTATTAATCGCACATTGAAAAATCTAAAATGTCTCATATTTTTAACATTTTATCTCATGAAAAATGGCTTATATTTTTAAATGGAAGGAGTATATTTTTGTTTGATATACATACAGTATAAGAAATTATATATGTTTCCAGGGAGTAATCTTTTTATTGAAGAAGGGGTGGGACTCCACACGCTTTAGCACACCAATAGCAATACATCATCAAGCATGAAAATTGCAATGAAGTTGTCCCTTCAAGGTACAAGTAGGTCCGCCCCTGATTACTGATTAGTACCTTTACTTGTAAATTTATGAACTTTGTTAATTTGTGCAGAAGTATAAACTAATTCAGGTGTGATATTTTGTACTGGCTAATGGAGCATTCCCATAATGTCAAGTGCCCCTCCACTCCCAATAGAAATTAAAGGTAAAAAAATAATAGGATGAATCATTAGAATGTGATTAGTATTCCCCTAATATTGTGTCCATACTATCTTAAGTTGGTTTTTTGTACATGGAATTGTTTTTTGGTAAATGGACGTATGACAGACATTATGGTGCAAATAAAATTATTTGCAATGAACATTTGCACGTTTTTCACATTTATAAACAATGGAAAATTCGTATATAACATGAAAATCTTGATTTATTAATAACATAATGTTCATTTATTTCACATCTATGTGGTTAAGTTGAACATTTATATGCTTTTCAAGTTTATGAACAACAAAAAGTTGTATATCACATGAAAATATATACTTATTAACAACATAATGTTTATTTATTTCACATGGTCCATGTGGTTAAATTAAACATTTGTATGTTTTATAGGTTTATGAACAACAAAAAATTCATATATAACATAAAAAGGTTTATTTATTAACAACACAATCTCTATTTATTTCACATGGTTCATATATTTAATGGTAAAAGAGCAAAAATATTTATAAAGTAATTAGTCAAGGGCACTCAGTATCTTACAATGAGGAAAAGGGTATAAATACCCATAATGTTGCATGAATAGGTACAAAGGTGATCAAATCGTTAACTTTAACCTAATGTCATTAACTTTGAATGTTAAATGCTAACTGTGTATGTCACGTATTAGTCTTTGCTGATGTGGATTAATAAAGGGGTAAAAATATCCATGAAGTCATCAATTAGGAGGAAAAATACCCATAACGTTATCAAAGTTGGTACAAAAGTGATCAATCAATCAAATCGTTAAATATTGACTGTTTAGCTAACATCTAAGCAGAAGTTGACCATTTTTTTGCTAATGTGGACAAAAAATATCCCTAGATAAAATTCTCTAGAAGTTAATCGATCATTATATAAATATCATGTGAGAAAATGTTGTTTTGATTGAATATTAAATTAAATTGCTTATTTTTTTACAACAGTAGCAAAAACTATTTGAAAATTTTAAACCTATCATGAATGAAATTGCTTAAGGTTATAATGATGTTCTTAAAGTAAAGTGACATAGGAGGTGTGCTCAATCTTGATCTTCAATTATATACAACCTATCTCACTATGTTGAATATTAGATTTTTGCATATAAGAAAAATAAGTGAAGAGGAAGGGAGGGAAGGGGCAAGATATGTGGCAATAGAAAGAAACCATGTTACAGGAATTTTGACGGATTAGTTACTATTGCACTTACTAAAGTAACATTATGGGTATCATACGATGATTGATCAACATTTGTAAAAATTTATTTAGGAATATTTTTTCCACATCAACAAAAAAATAATCAACTTCTGTTTAGGTGTCAACTAAACAATCAGCATTTAAGAGATTTGATGGATTGGTCATTTTTGGACTAATTATGATAATGTTATAGGTATTTTTGTTCCTAGCCGATGACTTTATGGGTATTTTTGCCTTTTTATTAGTCCACGTTAGCAAGGACTGACACGTGACATGTATAATCAATATTTAATAGTCAAAGTTAACAGTGTTAAGTCAAAGTTAATGGTTTGGTTACTTTTACACCCACTTATATAAAGTTATGAGTATTTATGTCATTTTCCTCACTTTAGGATACTGAGTGTCCCTGGCTGACCACTTTATAGATATTTTTGCCCTTTACCCTATATTTAAGTTGAACATTTGTACATTTTTTAGGTTTTTGAACAATAAAAAATTTGTATATGATATAAAAATGTTCATTTATTAACAACACAATATCCATTTAGTTTAACGATCCATGTAGCTAAGTTGAACATTTGTACGCTTCTCAAGCTTATGAACAATAAAAAGTTCAGATATAACGTGAAAAATATTCATTTATTAGCAACACAATGTTCATTTATTTCACATGATCTGTATAGTTAAGTTGAATATTTGTACAAATTTCTCAAGTTATTATACAAAGTACATATATAATATAATAAGGTTCATTTATTAATAACACAATATCCATTTTTATGGCACACCTAAACATCTGCACAATCGCAACATTTGTACA